CCCGGTGCTCTGCTCACTGTTCTCACCCCGGTGCTCTGCTCCTGTTCTCACCCCGGTGCTCTGGTCACTGTTCTCACCCCAGTGCTCTGCTCCTGTTCTCACCCCGGTGCTCTGGTCACTGTTCTCACCCCAGTGCTCTGCTCCTGTTCGCACCCCGGTGCTCTGCTCACTGTTCTCACCCCGGTGCTCTGCTCACTGTTCTCACCCCGGTGCTCTGCTCCTGTTCTCACCCCGGTGCTCTGCTCCTGTTCTCACCCCGGTGCTCTGCTCCTGTTCGCACCCCGGTGCTCTGCTCACTGTTCTCACCCCAGTGCTCTGCTCACTGTTCTCACCCCGGTGCTCTGCTCACTGTTCTCACCCCGGTGCTCTGCTCCTGTTCTCACCCCGGTGCTCTGCTCACTGTTCTCACCCCGGTGCTCTGCTCCTGTTCTCACCCCAGTGCTCTGCTCCTGTTCGCACCCCGGTGCCCTGCTCACTGTTCTCACCCCGGTGCTCTGCTCCTGTTCTGACCCCGGTGCTCTGCTCACTGTTCTCACCCCGGTGCTCTGGTCATTGTTCTCACCCCGGTGCTCTGCTCACTGTTCTCACCCCAGTGCTCTGCTCACTGGTCACTGTTCTCACCCCAGTGCTTTGGTCACTGTTCTCACCCCAGTGCTCTGCTCACTGGTCACTGTTCTCACCCCGGTGCTCTGCTCCTGTTCTCAGCCCAGTGCTCTGCTCACTGTTCTCACCCCAGTGCTCTGCTCACTGGTCACTGTTCTCACCCCAGTGCTCTGCTCACTGGTCACTGTTCTCACCCCAGTGCTTTGGTCACTGTTCTCACCCCAGTGATCTGCTCCTGTTCTCACCCCAGTGCTCTGGTCACTGTTCTCACCCCGGTGCTCTGGTCACTGTTCTCACCCCGGTGCTCTGGTCACTGCTCACTGTTCTCACCCCAGTGGCTATAACACTGCTTGGCACGGAAAGTGAAAGTTGCTCAGTGGTGTCCAACTCTTTGTGATCCCGTGGACTGTAGCCTGCCAGCCTCCTCTGTCTGTGAGACTCTCCAGGCAAGAATACTGGAGTGGGTTGCCATTCCCTTCTCAAGGGGATTTTCCCAACTCAGGGATCGAACCTAAGTCTGCCGCGTTGCAGGCAGCTTCTTTACCGTCTGAGCCACCGGGAAAGGTGCTTTGCTTTGCTCACTGTTCTCACCCCAGTGGCTGTAACACTGCTTGGCACAGAACAGATACTCAAATATTTGTTGAAAGAAGCAATTAGTCAATTAGGTAATTAGATACACAGAAAGTAGGAGGGAGTTACAGGGAGGCAGAGTTCATCTCAGGAGGAGAAGGGAGTGCCTAACAGTGTTCAAGGCAACCAGGTATAATAGAAATATCTCTGGACTTGGCATGAGAGCAATTAGCCACTTGTTAATTTTGACAGTGGAAAATCACTTAACTCTCTGTGCCTTAACCTTCTTATTCACTGAATAAAGATTATCTTTGTCCTGCCTAGTTCATAGCGTTATGGTGAGGGTGCAATAAAATAATCTAAGTTTTTAAAATGTAATGTAAAATACTACTAAATATATTTTTATTATCAGGGTGTAAAAGTGAACTCCCAGTCTGGCTGGTGTCTTTGTAGTATCTTGTAGTGGAGACTCTTGTCTTAGGAGAGAGTTTGAACTAAATGACTCAAATTCTTTCCAATTCATATATTCTATGGTTATGACACATAAATCCATATGTGTGGGCATGCATGCTCATTCTGACTCTTTGCAGCCCTAAGGACTGGAGCCTGTCAGGCTCCTCTGTCCATGGAATTCTCCAGGCAAGAATACTGGAGTGGGTTGCCATTTCCTCCTCCAGGGGATCTTACCGACCTAGGGATCGAACCCACATCTCTGACATCTCCTGCTTTGACAGGCAGATTCTTTACAGAATCTGTATTTTAAAGTTTTGAATACACGAAGCTGAGTTAAAATACATATTGGATGAAAATGATGTAGATCAAAATGCAAGAGATACTGAGAAGCTTGCTTTATTAAATGGTGGACAAAGATCTTAAACTGAACTCTGTATATAGGAAAGGGGAAAATCCAAATGTCTGATCTGCCCTAGAATTTATGAACTCTGTGTACGTCAGCTCTGCAACCGTGCTTACCAAGCTGCAAGAAGAAACGGAGGTTCCCTGACAGTGAAATGTCAGCGACGGGGGTTTTCAGGAATTTCAGATTATTGGGAAGGTCTCAGACACTTAGTACCTCCCTAGTGATTTGAAAGGCTTGCTGACTGCTGGCAGTAGTTTGCCTGAAGACTGAATTTTATCTCAACCCTTTTGAAAGAGCAAAGAAGCCACAAATCCAGTATCTGTTCAACACAACAAAGAAGGTGCCTTTGGCTTCTAACAGGAGTGTCTCTGAATTCCTCAAGGAATTCCAGGCCTAGGGTTGATCCAGCTGGCAGGAGGTATCGATCTCCACTTGAATTCACTGAATAAATAATGGTTGCCATAGTTATCGAGCAGTCACAACTGGTTGGAGAGCAGGGAAAACTCTGAGGCTCCTTCTGTGAGTTTGGCCATGAGAACGTCTGGTTACAGAGTTCCATAATCAACCCCTCCTGAAATCCAGCCCGCACATTGCTCAGTTTCTTTCTTCTGATAATGAATATAGGATTCTGAATACAGTGCAAGGCATGAGGCACGGAAGGGAAGGGAAAGCTTAAATCAATGGATTGGTATTTTATTCTGGGAAAAGCATCTCTCCCTGCATTATGAACCTAATTTGATATATCTCAGGATTTAATAGAATTTACTATCAGCAGGATGACTGATCATGTTACAGCGACGAGAAGGTTTCACAAGGAAGCAAATCCCAGTTTGTTCTATTTTAACGTTGTTTCTTATACCAATACCATTAACCTGGATATTTTCAAAGAAAAGAGTGATCTGCCAGTCTCATGAATATTTTCATTTTTCTGTTTCCGTTCCCCCTTCTCTGTGTGTGTTCACTTGCTCAGTCGTGTCTGACTCTTTGCAACCCCATGGACTGAAGTCCACGAGGCTCCTCTGTCCATAGAATTTTCCAGGCAAAAATACTGGAGTGGGTTGCCATTTCCTACTCCGTTCGCCCTTCTGTAGATATCAGAATAATTTTTGCATAGATGGTAGCACGGCTTAGATACCGTTTTGTATTCCATTCTTTATTTAATGTAGTAGTATGTATATTGCCATGTTGCTTCACAGCCTTCATATCCTTTTTGATGTCTACAGAATCTTCCATTATGAGGACATACTATTTTTTACTCAACACTTTGCCTATTTTTCTTCTCTTTATCCTTTTCTGTTTTTTTTAATTGGAGTATGATGCTTTACAATGTTGTACTAGTTTCTGCCACACAAGAAAGTGAGAATTCCATGGACAGAGGGGCCTGGTGGGCTACAGTCCACGGGGTTGCAGAGAGCCAGACACGACTGAACGGCTAGAGAGAAATGCTGAGAGAAAGAGGGCTTCCCTGTGGCGCTGGTGCTACAGAACCCGCCGGCCAGTGCAGGACGCATGAGAGATGTGAGTTTGATCCCTGGGTCAGGAAGATCCTCTGGCGTAGGAAATGGCAACCCACTCCAGTATTCTTGCCTGGAGAATTCCATGAACAAAGGAGCCTGGCGAGCTACAGTCCATGGGGTCTCAAAGAGTCAGACACGACTGAAGCGACTTAGCATGCAGATACTGAGAGATGAAAACTTTGACAGAGATAACAGGGGCCAAGGTCTTCTTTCAGGAAAGAGGCTCTGAAATCTACACGCTGAGGGAGAGCAAATTGATTGGCCTGAAATGTCAGGCTCCTTTTTGTTCACAGGAGATGCAGCGTTGCTCTGGAGCCAGAGGACAGAGGCTGCCTCAGAAGACTGGGTTCAAATCCCAGTTCTTAGCAGTTGTGTGACTTTGGGAAAACCATCTAACCATCTATACAAAACAAGAGATCATACTATTTAACATAGGGATAATTTTATATATTATTTCATAAAATATGAGATCGCTGGTGTTCATGTCTTGCCACATCACGAAATGCTTGCATCACCTCCTCTACTTCTCTTGGACTTTTCCATCTCCACAGACGAGAAACATGTGCCAGGTATAGGTCAGTAGGAGTGTGGGAGTGGGGAGGGAGGGGATAAAAGAAAGAAAATCCAGATTCTTCTCAACGCTGATTCTTCTCAATGCATCGAAACACAAGAATGCACTTTGTATCAGGGCAGCTTTTGCATTTGCAAATGGAAAATTACAGCCCCCACTACCAAGTGAGTGTCAGGATGGCAACATTTTTTCATTTACCTGGATGTGTGTCTGCATCACTCTGAAAAGAGTTGCTCGGGGCTTTTGTAAGACCTCAGTCAGATAATGTGTGCAAAATAGTAACCACCCTGTTATTCATTCACTGTGGCTCTGTGCTGGGAACTGTGTGCTTCATCTGTGTTATTCGCCCAAGCTGGTCCTCCTAGAAACTCTGAATTGGGTATGATCATTACCTTCATCTTGTAAGGAAATCGTGGCTCAGAAGTTAGGGGGCTCTGGGGACACTGGGTAAGTGACAGGACTGAGATTGAGTCCCTAGTGCTCTTTGGCACTGTGTGCGCGTGCCAAGTCACTGCCGTGGTGTCCGACTCTGCGACCCCATGGACCATAACCCGCCAGGCTCCTCTGTCCATGGGATTCTCCAGGCAAGAATACTGGAGTGGGTTGCCATGCCCTCCTCCAGAGCATCTTCCCAACCCAGGGGTCGAACCTGTGTCTCTCATGTCTCCTGCGTTGGCAGGCGGGTTCTCTACCACTCGCACCACCTGGGAAGCTGCATTTGATACTAAAGGCCATGAACTACCTCTAAGAGGGAGGGCACTGTGACTGTAAAATGCCATCCCAACTGGCAGAACAGGACACAGGCCTCCATGAGGAATTCGGGGGTTTTGACGATGTAACTGCCTCCTCAATTTTCCTATCCTTTTCTGTCCCTCTGCAGAACGACATGGGTTAAAAGAGCCAAAGAGAGCAGAGGAGCTACGCAACAAGATCACCAGCAGCTTGAAGGAGCACCAGAGTCAGGGGCAGGCTTTGGAGCCAGCGGAGCCCAAGGTCCTGCGTGCCCTGGTGGAGCTGCGGAAGATCTGCACCCTGGGCCTCCAGCGCATCTTCTACCTGAAGCTGGAAGACTTGGTGTCCCCACCTTCCATCATCGACAAGCTCTTCCTGGACACCCTGCCTTTCTGAGCAGGAGCAGCCTGAACAGGGAGCGGCCTCATCTGCTAGCAGCCGCTTGCTAAGTAGCAGAGGGAGGGGGTCTGGACACCTACCATTTTCTGTCCTTCCTTAAGAGAGAAAGCAAGCTCCTGTCGAAATGAAAGACTTTTTTTTTTTTTTTTCTGGCACTTTTCCTTACATCTGAAAGCCAGAAAACTTGCAGAGTATTGTGTTGGGGTTGTGTTTTATATTTAGGTTTTGGGCTTGGGGTGGGAGGAGGGTATAGTTCATGAGGGTTTTCTAAGAAATTGCTAACAAAGCACTTTTGGACAATGCTATCCCAGCAGGAAAAAAAAAAAGGATAATATAACTGTTTTAAAACTCTTTTTGGGGAATACAATTATAGTTGGTTCATATTTAAAAACAAGAACAGCAGAGGGTTGTTCGCCAGGGTAGGAGGTGTCTTGAGACTGATCCCTTTAGAGTACACTTCTTGTATCAAGGGTACGTATGTGGTGCAAACAAAGCAGAAATTTTCTCTTCTTAGTTTCTTCTTCCTTTGTTTTATTTTAAGAAATGGTGAAAGATGGAGGATTACCTATACATCAGACATAGCAAAACGATAATGGCTGTTCACTTCCATATACAAGTGCAATTTTTTTAAAGTGCTGTCTTACTAAGTCTTGTTTATTAACTCTCCTTTATTTTGTATGGAAATAAAAAGGAGGCAGCCGTGTTAGCGAATGACACATGCTAATTTCCCTAGCAGAGGCTCCGTCCACCTGCCCTGTGGAGCCCTTCTGAGGCGTGGTCCATTCAAGACTTCAGGCCGTTGCTGCCCTGACTGTCCAACTGCCCTGAAGAGGGCTCAGGTGATAAGCCGATTGCCACACAGCTTCTTTTTTGTCATGTTTTGTGAATCCTGCCAGAGTTCCCTAAACTTGCTTCAGTTGTAGAAACTGACTCGCATTCATTCAGAAGCCCCAGGAGCATTCAATAAGTTTCAAGTATTTGAACCCTAGATGAGAACAGGCAAATAAGTAGAAATGGATCATACAGGGTAAGCACCAGGGATAATAAAGTTTTTTAAAGAATATATAATTTAATTTTTGTTATTGGTTAATGAGACAATTTTGGAGAACAGGCAAGTCTTATTATAAAAAAAATAGTGTGAATGTAAGTACTAGAAAGAATTAGTGGGCTGCGTTTCAACATTCCGTGTTCGTACTCCCTTTTGTATGTTTATACTGTTAATGCCATATTATTAAGAGATAATTTGTTGCATAGTGTCCTTATTTGTATAAACATTTGTATGCACGTTATATTGTAATAGCTTTGCCTGTATTTATTGCAAGACCACCAGCTCCTGGAAGCTGAGTTACAGAGTACTTAAATGGGCTGTTCACAGTGAACTTGGATACACCACTTAGAAATTAAATAAGCAAATATATATATAAATATAGCAGGTTACATATATATTTATAATGTGTCTTTTTATTAACCATTTGTAAAATAAATGTTACTTTCCATGTGGTTATTTTATGGTTCATTTGCAGTGACTTTTAAGGCAGTACTGTTTAGCACTTTGATATTAAAATTTTGCTTATGTTTTGCTAAATTCAAATAATGTTTGAAGATTTTTAGGTCTAAAAGTAACTTTATATTATATATATACTCTGTATCAAGTCAAAATATCTTTGGCCATTTTGCTAAGAAACAAACTCTGAATGTCAAACTGATGTCATAGTAGTTTTTGTTAGCTTTAAACCATTTTTGCTTTAGTCTTTTTAAAGGAAACATGACAAAACTATGCTGTTTATATTGTCATTAAATTATACAATCAAACAAATGCCAAATGATTGCCTAATTGCTGCAAAGGAGAGCCCAGATAGCAAATCATATATGTTTTTTTCCAAGTGTCATTCTGATATTTGATCTTGTATTATGTTTGTGTGAGCTTTTGTGAAAGATTATTTTTATATTAATATTGAGATGATAGGATCTGGAATGTTAGGATCTTGGAATGTTAGAAGGGGCCTGACTTGTCAACTAGTCCACCCCTCCCTGAAATTCATAGAGAAGAGAACTGGGGCCCAGCAAAAGGCAGAGCTACGCAAGATCAAACAGCTGGTAACAAAATCAAGACTAGGACCTAATTCTTCTTTCCATGGTCTTCTTACTTAATTTACTGCATCTGCAGGAAAACAGGCTTTTAAAAATAACCACTAATACTTACATTTTACCACGAGTAAAGTCATACTTTTGCAGTAATTGTTTGAGTTTATATGCAGACATAATAGACATTACTAAATATCAGGAAAGCTGACATTTCATACAAGGTAGCTTCAGACCAAATTCAAGTTGAATTTGAATAAATTAGAAATGCTGTGCATACATATAACCCTTTTGTGCACTGTTCATCTAAGAATGTTAATCCTTGTTTTCTGTCATGTCTCTAAAGGAGAAACAAAACAGAAAACCAGAGCCCTGGAGAAATGCTGTCACTTGTTATTGTTACACCCATTAGATTTAAGGAAAAGACTTTTTAGTCGATATTGATTGGTTGGAAGGAATGAAGAAGGTTTTTAGTTATAGGTCCAGACACTAGTGCTGAAAATAAAGAGCATAGCCAGTGTTCCTCTGTCTTCCATAGTTACTACGACTATGAGAGCCCCCCAGACCCCCAGCAAGTCTTCTATCAGTTCAGCTCTCTTTTTTTTTTTGGTCTCAGTGTTGACACACAAGTTTATACGGAGTGGATGACTGAACTAGCTCAGAAGAGGACAGCAAAGAAGTAAAGCAGGTGATCTTCCCTTGTGGGAGAGCTCTCTCAGTGCTAATATGCCTTCTGTGGGCAGAAATCAGGAATCCACCAGCTGTTAATGGAGAGTGCCTTGCTTCCATTTCAGACGGCAGAGTTTTCCAAAGTTTCTCTGCTCCTCTTTCAGCATTGCTCTTTACTGGGTGTTAACCTTGTGTTTGAAAGAAATGCTCTTGTACATTAACAATGTAAATTTAAATGATTAAATTAAATTACATTTTATCAATGGCTACTGGTCTGTTGAATAAGCATGCTTCATTTAATGGTATTTTCTCAATCATTTTTATAATGGTATTTGCTGTGAACTCTTAAAGTGAAGAAAGTGAAAGTGTTAGTAACTCAGTCATGTCCGACTCTTTGCAACCCCGTGTGAGCTCTTAAACATATCTCAAATGGATTTTTTTAAAAGGCTTACTAGTGCTGAAAAATTAATAGGCATTCTGAAATAGAAATATATTAAACTTCACTGATTGGGAAGAGGTACATTCTAAATTCAATAACCATCTATTGATTACTTCCTGCAAGCAAAGCACAATTGGGTGCTTTGAAGAGATACAAACATGCAGTGTGTATGACGCTTTTGCTTTCAACTGTATATAGTGGAGTTAACAATTTGTTGCCTAAAAGTATCATTTAGGCACTAAAAGATTTCTTTCTGTTTCAGATTAATGGGATATCAGTCATTTGTGAACCAGAATTTATGAGTCGGGGTTAGAGTTCTCAAAGATTGATTGGTACTCTGCCTTTTTGCTGAAGCCATTACTACTACATTGCTTAGAAGCGCCCCTGTGGGCAATGCAAGTACAACTTTCATTCAACACTGGCCCAAACATATGGGCTTTCCCAAATGGCACTGGTGGTAAAGAACCCGACTGCATGCAGGAGACTTAAGAGATGCGGGTTCGATCCCCGAGTGGGGAAGATCCCCTGCAGGAGGGCATGGCAACCCACTCCATATCCGTGCCTGGAGAATCTGATGGACAGAGGAGCCTGGCAGGCTACAGGGTTGCAAAGAGTCGGACATGACTGAAATATGACATGACTTAGCATATCCCAAATGTACATTCCAAGTGAGTACAAACATTTTTTTTAACTGGCATATAATTGCTTTACAGTGTTGTGTTTCTGCTGTACAAAGACGTGGATCCGCTATATGTATCCGTGTATCCCCTATATGTATCCGTGTATCCCGCCCCTCCCCACCCCCCCCACCCCCCGAGGTCATCCCAGAGCACCAAACTGGGCTCCCTGCGCGCCCTTGCAGGAGGTTCCCCTTAGCTTTCTATCTTACACACGGAAGTGTATTTATGTCAAACCTAATCCCACAGTTCCAAATGTGGGTTTTTTTCATGCACTGATAGCTCAAGAACAGAAATGTGGGCGTTCTCATGATTTTCTTTATTAGTTCATGTGTAAAGTATTTTCTGTGACATCTAGGTGCTGTGTGTGGTCTGGGAGCCAAACACATCTCTCTGCTTCTTGCCAGCACCTTCATTCCTCAACTATAAAATATTGTAAGAAGAGAATGAGAGATATGGTAAAGCACCATCCTGCATGCAAATTCAAACGCCAATGCCTGGACCAAAGGGATAGAAGAGAAGGGGAGTGGAGAAGCTCTTTCTCTGGGGACTCTAGGGGCAAAAGTCTGAGTTTGAGTGGGGAAGGAGGCAAGAAAGATCAGTTTTAGATAAAGGGCATATGCTTATGGATGAATTTCCATGGGTTAAATGCACAAAGATAACACAAGAATTGTTATTTTTGTGCACAATTTTAATTGAATTTTTAAAAAATGTGGTAAAACACACACAAAACGTACCATTTTAACCATTTTTAAATGTACAGTGATGTTAAGACCACATATTGTTGTTTAAACAATCTCTGGAACTCTTCTTACAGAACTGAAGCTCTGTTTCCATTAAACAATAACTCTCTATTCCTCCCTGCCACAGCCCTGGTAACCAATATTCTTCTTCCTGTTTCTATGAATTTGACTACCGAGGGACCTCATGTGAATGGACTCATGCAGTGTTTGTCCTCTTTCTGGCTTATTTCACCTAGCGTGATGTTCTCAAGATTCGGCATGTTACAGCATGTGTCAGAGTTTCCTTCCTTCTTAAGGCTAAATAATATTCCATAACAAATAATATATCACACCTTGTCAAGTGTCAATGGACACTTGATTTGCTTCCTCCTTTTGACTATTGTGAGT